TCAGGCTTCTTTGGCTACTTGTCCCTCCGAGCCTCGGTAGACCAGAAATCAGAGATCGCATCCCGTGAAGAAGCTGCCAATGACTCCTGCCACGCCTGCTTGAAGGGCAAACTTTCAGCTGCTGCTTCATGAAGACCGCACACCTTGCGAGCATCGAGCACAAAGGCCAAATGGTGGTACGGGGTGCCAAACGCACGCCCACGCTTTGACAAAGCGTCTAACAAGGCCCTCTTTCGCTCCTCCACTGTGGCCTGTGACTCCTGCACATTGCGGTCAACAAAATCCCACTTTGCCTGAGCTTCTGTAATGGACTGCTCGCAGCGTAGCCAGGCGGACCTGGCCAAAAAGAAATCGGACATGCCAGCCACCCTGGTCAATGTAGCGCACGGTCCAGTGATGTGCAGCGCGCGGGTGGCCCGGTGGTAAATGGTGTCTGATGACCATGTCCTCAACGAAGACTCTTGCCTGTCTCGCTTTCTTGGGTTGGTCTGTTCCATGACATCCTTGAACTCTTTCGTTCCCACAAGCTTCCGGAGCAAAGGAACATTCAACAAGAAGGCGTCCAAGCTCTGCACTCTGCTGCAAAAACGTGTTCTGCGAACCAGTCGTAAGCCGCGGAAACGCGGCAGTTGGCCGCGCCTCACGGCCAACCGTTGCTGCTCCTTCACAAATGCCCGCCCGCGCTTTCGACGGTGGATGACTTTCTGGGCCCTGTGCACCTTGTTCTGCACTTCCTGCAGGGTGTTGCTGCTCGAACAGGAAAAAATTGCCGAATGCGTTTTTTGGAGGTGTCAAAACGCATCTGGCCTCCATGTAAAGCTTTCACTTTCAAACACAGCGCTCCATTTCTCAAGCTACTGTCTCAGAGCAATCCGAATGGCTGGCATCCTTGCAGCCAACCAGCAAAACCCTACGGTGAGATGAACCCTAAGCTACTGTGCACCTACAAAAGCTGCCATCTCAAAACACCTATACGCGCCAACGTCCCAACGTTCAACGCTGCTTGGTGCACTTTGACTTGGCAGTCGTTTGGGAGCCGGAAGCAGACTTGCGCTTCCTACTGCTCCCAGAGGATGGGGCCACGCACTCAGTTGGTACACAAACCTGGTGACACTTCACGTTCTGCACCTTCAGATAAAGCTGCACGTCCTGCTCTTTCACCGTCTTGCGGCGTGCGTGGCCCGCAAGCAAGCTTGCAGCCACCATGGTCTGCATTCCCAAGGCTTCAGTTGCCTCCTGAACGATGGCCAAAGCATGGCTGCTCACACGATAGTCGGGGACATCTCCGTCCTCTGATCCCGGTCCCAAGCAATTACGCTTCTCTGAAACGATCTGGTTCACGACATCTTTCACCAGGCGCCCAAAAGGCTTGCGCGCAATCACAGGCTTGGAGAGGTCCGATTGCAAAAGGCGGACTTGGTCTTCAACCTCGCAAGCCACAATGCCCAATGCGTCCAAACACCTCTAAAAAAC